GCCACGATAACATTTTCTAGTCCTGAACCCTAAGCAGTGTACAGTTACCAGAAATTGGTGTATAGCTTGTGCCAAGTGGGTGAATCCGCAGTATAAAAAATGCTACGGGGGACCATACAATATACGGACCTCACAAAATATACAGACTGCCAGTTCGGTTTGTACCACTTCAAACCACTTGCTAAACAGTCAGAACTGCGTATGCAGAACCACTAAGATTCATAGCAGAGAGGTCGATACGATCAACGTCATAAAGGCGGCCAAATAGGTCAAGGCTACAAAGTCAAAATAATCCATCTATGGGCTGTTCTGTGTGTCCGGAGTGGGGGAGAATAGATCGGTCCTAACCAGAGGCCAACACCAAAATAGATTGTAGGGCCAGAGATCTCGCTCAGGTCGCGACTGGTCACGGGTCGGCAAAATTAAAGTGGTGTTTCCTTAGAACGCAACGAAGTTGCTTTACGAACCATGTCTCCAACACGGAAATTCACCGCCAATCACTGGAACCTGCTGGCGGACACATTTTAAAACCCAAATTTTGTGGTCCTAATTCCACCAGCATGATGAACTGGTTTAAGATTATCAGCTCCATTACTACATCAAAATGGACGACTTAGGTGTGGCGGAAAATGTGAAGATGGAAAAATGCGATAGAGTTAGTCTTAATGGGAACATTAGGTCGAATGGATACATGCACAACGGTTGCTGTGGGTCCAGCCAACGAACACAGACTGGTTCCAACTGTTTCGCAAAGTTGTGAACATTATAGTCGACTAAGCCTTTTCCGGGTGAGTTAGGGAGGGCTCTGGCCGCGAGCCCAAACTAGATGGAGTTAACTCCGAAATAGCACAAAAACTAGAATTCTGGAAATTGGTTTTGTTACTGTCGTCGTTCGGCAGTAAACTCTCACTGCAAAAGACAGCATTCCGGGTGGAGGTCGAACCAAATTCGTGTAGTAGACGGTGGAGAGGTGCAACTGGTATATAAGGGAGGGAAGAAGGAAGACAACAGCGCACGTTGACCCAAATCTTGAGGTTCTTGCATTGAATGTTCTAGTCGTCTCACAGGACGTTAAATTCAGAGACGATGCAGGAATCGGAGATCCGGCTTGGTCTTCTTCCCGATTGAAGTGCCGGGGTATATGCGCTTGGTTGTGGAGAGAAGTTTGGATTGTAAGTGCATGTCCGACGGCCAGTAGCGAAGTTTTTTAGACCAGCAAGCATTGAGGTCATCAGCCCTTTAAGTTTTCCCTCAACCTATTTTCGCGCTCCCATGTTCTTCGTAGTACAGTAGTCGCCGGTTATTAAGCCCACGGTTAATAGGCCCAGCCGC